ACCCGAAAGAGGTTGCAGTTCGAAAGGCATACGTAGAGATCTCAAAATCGACGGAAACTTAGGTACCAAACATGCGCGACGGGTGCACGCAGCAACGTCGCTCTTTCTTATCCACCCTCGAACCCAGAGAAACGTCGAGAAAGACGGTCGATGGAAGAACCTCCTGGCTACAACAAGGCACAAAACGGCCTACACGCTAACACCATATGAGTCGGGGTAAAACGAACGTCCTCATAACATTATCCCAAAAAAATGTCCGCACCATCGTTTTGCCGAGTTCCTATTGGCAACAGAAAATATTATTGATCGGCGTGCGTGCGGGTGAGAAAGAGAGAGGGCCTTCATGTAATAACCTGCGCATATCATACAATAGCAACGAATATTTGGCGACGCTCGAGTCGTTCATCCAATCTCTCCCTCTTTGCTATCTACGCTCTCGTAGTTTTCGGGGGTACCTGGCAAAGGCCCCAACAAAAAAAGCGAGGCTCCCTGCTGAAAGCTCGTGCGCACCCCGCAAAGACAAAACCACACAGCAAACCCAGGCTTCTACAACCACCCGAAGAGAAAGGGGAAATCACGATGACTCTTGATGCGAAACCGGGGGCCGCCCCTCCCCCTCCTGGACCCCCGTAGACAAGACCACGCAGCGAACCCAGGCAACTATTACAGAAGAGAGAGAGGGAAGTCACGACGGCTCTTGATGCCAAGCCGAGCGCTTCTGCCCCTCTCCCTCCTGCACCCTTTCTTCCGCGGCCGAAGCGAGCGCTCGTCGGATCTCCGTAACGTGGGCCGGGCGAGTCCTGCAACACCCGCCGACCACCCTCGCGCCCGCGGCGAACCACTCGTCCCGCGCCATGCGCCCAAACTCCTCCGCTCCTCCTCCTCCTCCTGCCCTCCCTTCACGCAACCCGGTCCCTTCCACCCAATCCCTGGCGCTGGCGTCCCACTCTTCGCCGCTGTTGGGGTATGCCACAAGCGCGATCCGGGACGGCGGGGTTTCCCGAGGCGCGCCGTGTCGCGCATCCGGCCTCGCCCTCGCCGCCGCTAGCGTCCGCAGGGCCCCCGCGGCGTGGCTTGGCGATGTGCAGTTCACCCCGACGGCTACGACGCACGCCGGCCGGGTCGTCATCGTCGTCGTGGTCGCCTTCACCGCTGGTGGTCCCTCCGTGGCATCTTGCTCTTCGGCACGCCGCCAGATGAGGTCGGCAAAATCTTGGAGGCGTTCTTCGCTGGAGGTAGGTGCGGCCGCACGAGGCGGTCATCGCGGTTCGAAGACGGTACATGAACGGGACAAAAAATTGTTTTTTGGATCCATGGTTTTCTCTATAATGGATGTGCGAAAGGCAGCCGACTGCTGCGTCATACGCGGGTCATTGCACACACCCTAGACCGCCCCCCACGGCTCGATAACTCTACACAGCTCAAGAAAGTGAGTGCCACTACCGTAGACGTATCAGTCTGTTTTCGCAACCTCCTCTTGGTCGTGGAGCGCCTAACACGGTCGAGAGGGGTTGTCATGATACGAAGTATACGGTATCGTTTTAGTGAACAAACGTGGTGCGAGGTGAGGCAGCAGGGAGGAAACACGATCGAATGCTCCTTGGAGGTCTTCATCTTACCAAAAAGTCATGCCACAATACTCACTACCACGGAGTATACCACATACGACGCCACATTTTCTGCAGAACCTCATCCTCGCAAGGAACGCTCACGCCGCCTCAACCTTCGTGTTGGCTGTGACTACCGATAACGGAGATGATGGTGACTTTGTGTGAAGTGCGCAACCTATGGTTGTCGATTACGCCCACCAGCTGCATCGGACGCGAATGCGTGAAGCGGGTAAATAAGACCAGCCCGGGGAAGTTCAGGGTGCGACCGATCGATGCCGGATTGTCGGGATATGGTGTAGAAGGAAAATGCCCCAACAAACAAGAGAGCAGCAACGCCCCCCTCTCGCGATCGCTTACCTTCTCAAGTGCTGGTCATCTTTGCACGACACGCTGATCACCGCGCTGACGCTTGGACGGAAGTCCTATTACAGATTCAGCCGGAAGCGCAAGAGAAGAAGAGGGGTTCCCGCGACAGTAAAAGGGGACTGTTACCCTGACTAGGTGCCACCGATGTGGCAGACGCCACCGATGTGCTGATTGACAATACACCGCAGCATCTTGGGGACTGACGACAAGAGTGACCCGGCGCTGTCGTTGTTTTTGCAGATACATGCCAGCAGGATCGATATATATATATATATCACATGGCTGACTGCTCGGTCTCTTCTTGACCTTCTATGTGGCAGGTCACGGGTACTCGCGAACCAAGCTTCATTGACGCCATTGTGGCGGATCGCGACATTTGGAGCCAAGCAGAATACCTTTGTCAAAACTCGATACCCCCCTTCTCTCTGTCTGACCCTCTACGTAGCTGTCTGTCTCTCTCTCAGACTCTCTATCTCGCTTCCTGTCTGTCTGTCTCTCGCTCTCTCTCTCTCCTCTCCCCCCCCCCCCCCCCCCCCCCCCCCCCCCCCCCCCCCCCCCCCCCCCCCCCCCCCC